CTGAAAAGACATGAGAAGAGCTAGCAGTGTCCCAAATCTACCATGCTTCTGGGAATAATGTACTAAGTGGTCCAAGCCACAGATTGCGGTAAGGATCCCCTAAAGGAGCAGGAGCAGTTTGCAAAGTGACTCATGGTTTGATTCACTGAGGTGTTGTGTCTGGGTTAGACTTAGAGGTGAGGGTGGAGGTGAGAGTAAAGAAACTGAAAAAGAAAGTGAGGTGCTTCAGACCTTGATAGCACAGTTTTCAAGGATATGCCTGTTTCCCCATCCTCTTTTTTTTTTTTTTTTGAGACAAGGTCTCTCTGTAGCCCCAGCTGGCCTAGAACTCACTATGTAGGCTGGCCTTGAACTCACAGAGCTCTGTCTGCCTCTACCTCCCAAGTGCTGGTATTAAAGATATATGCCACCACGCCTGACTCTGCTTCCCCATCCTCTTTACAAGTACAGAGAGAGAGAGAGAGAGAGAGAGAGAGAGAGAGAGAGAGAGAGAGAGAGAGAGAAACAAAAGTGACTGTGCAGAATGCTCTACAGTAGCATCTATTCTACAAGTTTTATGATTCATTTTCTCCTCTGAACCTGAAATCTGAGCTTACATTTAAGTGGATTTCTTAGGAATAAAGGCATCTTTCCATCCTGGAACTTGAGCTGTGTAAACTAAGTAGAACTCCTCCACATTACAACCAAGGAAGGCCAGCCCCATGACATTTGAACAACCACTGCCACTCCTGAATGATGAGATTGCACAATGAGCTTATGAAAGCAAATAACATGGCCAAAGAATAAACCTTGCTTGTCCAGATGTCATTTGAACTTTTCCCTACTTTCCCAAAGTCAGCCTTGTCTTAACAAAATAGTACAACAAGGCAAGCTGGGTACCACTTAAGACACTGATCTGTGTTATCCCCAGAATTTCTGAACTCCTTGTTTTCAACAATAGGTTCTTCCTGCCAAGTGAGTAAATGTGAATTAAGGCTGTAAGTCATAATTCAGGGTCTTTGGTAAGTACACATGAACGTTGAATTCATGTTTAAAAATGATTGCATGCATTTAGTATTTGTATATATGATTACCTGAGGAAAATTCACTATCCTTGTATTTGATGAGTAAAAGATATAGGTGTTATCAAAGCCATAGATGAAAATATTCTCCTATATCTGGGTTTCAAAAATTTGGGCTTTTCCATCTAAAAATAGTTGCTTCACTTACTGTGCAACTCAGCCTGAAAAACTTCTGTGAACCAGACTTAGTACCACTTCTTTCAGGAAGCCTGGGTAAGTTCCATTGAAAATTCCCTGAGTCACACACTGAGGAGAAAGCTGAGATAGATATTCCACACAGACACTGGAAATCATCCCATTTATCTATTCCGGCCTATTTGTGAGAAAGCAAGTAGAGGAATAGAGATCAAAATAACTGTGAGAATAATGATTTGTACAGTGGTAGAGTACTTGGGTAGCATGCATGCCCAAGGGCCAGAGGTCCCTCCCCAGCACTACAGGGAAAAGAAAAGAAAAAAAAATAAAGAAACCATGAAAAAAAGAAGTCAATAAATAAAAGTGAGAACAAGAATGTTTGCAGATCTATGTTCAGCAGTGAGTCTTGTACCTAGATGACACAAAAGTGTGATGGATGTGTGTTGACTTTGAAGAATGAAGTTTAGGCAAAGGAACTTAAATCTATTTACCAGTCATAGGAGTCTTTCTGTGACTAACAACACAAAATGCATCACTCCAGTTACTACTAAATCCAGTCTCTCAAAGATGCTATAGAAATTTCCAGAACACTGAAGCCAGCATATCTAAATCCCATCCCCCAGGTTCATCTGCCGAAATATAGGTCTGGAGTAGAAGAGCCTGAAAGACTGGTTGGCTTTCTCACCTCAACATGAAGAACATTGGATTCCAGTTTTCCATGAAGTTACTCAAACACCTAATTTTAATAGCCAGGGCCTGGTCAAATAATGCATATATAGGTCTGTCAACCTCCTCTGAGCAACGATCATAATAATCATGAGAACTAGGGGAAAGAGGATTGAAATTGTTATCACCAGGAAACCAAGAGTCCTTGCTACTTTTAGAGTGCAAACATCTGGTATGTTAGGTTTCTAGAAATAGACGACTCTGGATTTTTCAAGGTTATCATCTTAGCAGGGGATGCTGTTGGGTTTTTCAGGTTTCCCAAGGTGAATATAGTGGTAATTCTGAGAAATCTTTGAGCTTACATACATATAAAACAGGGCATTGTTATCATTACGGTAATGGAAACTTACCTGAACAATACTCCAAAGGCATCAATAATATGTTAAACTCGGAAAATATTTTTGTTTTTAGAAAGTGTCTCATTAGACAAACTAGGATGACCTAGAAGTCACTATGTAATCCAGGCTGCCTTCAGACTCCCACTCATCCAGCCTCAGCTTCAGAAGAACTATGATTACATGTATTTCCTACCACTTCGGACTGAAAATGTCTTTCTTCTGCATTTTTGATTGTTTGCCATGTGATTTAGTCTGTCCTAACTAGACTGTATGTAGGTATTGCTTAATAACCCCCACCATTTCCATTTTGTTAAAATTAAGGAGCAGAAAAGTAAGAGTTTTTTCCTACATTCTTCTGCAATTGTGTTTGAAAACAGAGGTGAGGAATTCCAGGGAACTGCACAGACAGAGTACGAGGACTGAGCAAATCAGGACTGCTACTGTATGTAAGGAAGAGAAGAACATTAGTTCTCCTGAGGCTGCTGTGAGCATGGTAGAAGTGTGGTGTGAGTGTGGGCATGCGACTGTGACCACAGAAACATGTGATACCATGACATATCTTTTGTTGTTACCATGTAGGAGGTATAGGTTGCAACCTCTGAGTGATCTGAAGCAGGGTAGAGCTCCTTTATTCTCAGGATAGGCCTGAAACTGATGCCCCTTTCCTCACCCTGAGCAATCCCAGTTTATGAAGATACTTGTTAGTTCTTTGACCTTAAGACCTTATAACCTTTAGCTGATCTGGTTTAAGGAGGAATGTCATGGATCAAAAGCAGTCCTAATTTAAGAAACCAGCATCAAAGGCGAGAAATGGTGGCAAATGCCTTTAATCCCAGCACTCAGGATGCAGAGGCAGGCAGATCTCAGTGAGCTCGAGGTTAGTCTGGTATACAAAGCAAATTCTAGGGCCCAGCTAGGGAAACATAGTGAAACTTTATCTCAAACAAACGAATAAACAACATCAGCACCAAACGCTGTCTAAGGATTGCTGATGGTAGGCCAAATTGGGAAGAAGCAAACAATAATGTCATAAGCAGCTGACCTTTTTTTGGTGTGTGCTCTGCTGGGACATTCTGTCTTGGAGGATTCAGTAAAGTGGTTGGCATGTTGGTAGAGCCTTTCCTTCCTTCACCCAGGGAAGCCTGGAATTTGGTAGTTTCAGTTGTGCTGGAAACAAGAGTATAGGGGCATAGTTTTCTGGAGCTGGAAACTGGTGCTGTGCCAGAGTGCTCAGAAGAGCCCTAAGTGCAAAGTGAGGGTACTGGCTCCTTAGATGGCCTTATCAAGAGACCAGAGGTTGGAAGAAGCTCTGGCTGCTTCCCACCACCTTGTTACTTGTGACATTAAGGCAGCCATTGGGCCTCTCCAGGCTTTTCATTTGTAAAATTGAGTCAAATATAGCAACTCACACTTTGAGTGGGATTCAAACCCTAACCTAACATTCCCTTTTTGACCTTGACCAATTAATTACCCTCTTTGGGTATTTTTCATTGTTATCATTTGATCATCCATAAAATGTAGGAAATTGTGTGGCATTTACAGTGCAATATAATGTACATAAATATAGTAGAAAATAAATATTTGTGAAATTAGTAAGACCTGACATGTAGGAGGTGAATTTTTAGGTGTAAGTTCTTTTCTTTCTTCCCCAACAAGACATTACATTAAATCACATAATAAGACAAATTATTTTTCCTGGGCCAGTGAAATGGTGCAGCAGATAAAAGGTACTTGCCACCAAGCCTAATGGCCTGAGTTGAATCCCTGGGACCCATATGGTCGATGAAGAAAACTGACTTCTGCGAGTTGTTGTCTGACTTTCACTCACGTGCTGTGGCACATATGTGCACACACACACACACACACACACACACACACACACAACAAATAAATATAGTAACAGTTATTCCTTCAGAGCTGTAAGATTCAGATGCTAGTGAAGTAAACCAGCAGATATATACACATACACACACATACACACACACACACACACACACACACAACAAATAAATATAGTAACAGTTATTCCTTCAGAGCTGTAAGATTCAGATGCTAGTGAAGTAAACCAGCTTGCATATATCTGTTTTTTTACCCCCATGGATGTTTTTCTGGTCAGAAGCATGTATTTTGATTACACTGGTGGGAAATATGTCATGGTTAAAGGTGAAAATACCAACTAATGTGATAATTACCCAAATGATATTAAAAGGAAGAACAATTACCCCCTGTGGAAAAATGTGTACACATCCATAAACACACATAAAAAAGAGAATTCTGCATATAATCTCAAGGGCTATCTAAAACCCCAAGCTACAAACCTCTGGCACACAAGACAGAAGAGGTAAAACAATGTGTCAGGCAGTTAGCTTAATAACCCTATAAGATGTTTTTGTCTAAAATTTTAGATCAGTGTAGAACAAATAAAAGCATTAATCGGCTTCATCTTCACTTTAAAAGACCTTTGCTTCCCGTGATTAGTTCTCATCTTTTTATCTTGTCTTCTCTTTGAAGATGGCCAGTAGGTTTTTTTGTTGTTTTGAAAAAAAACAAACATCAAAGCTAGAGTAACATAGTTATGTTCAAGCTAGAAGGGCCTACAGTGGGTGGTCAGTAAGCACTTTGAATTTTATTCTCCACACGCTGTCAATATTCCTTATGGTCACCACTGATTGGTCTGAAGTTACCATATCTATCCATACATAATTCTATATGCAGATCTATGATGATCAGTATCACCCACCTTCCTTATATGTAGGTTGTCCTTTGATGTAGAGTTTCAGCTTGATGCTCTTTGTCCCTTGGTCCTCTTGATACTCTTTTGTAGAGAGGCTGACCAAATGCTAAGGTAGCACACCCCATATTTTATCTATTACAATTTTCTCCAGAAATTGTAGTCTATGTTTTAAAGCCATGACTCGATACATGAACAGCATCTTTTTTCTGTTCAGTAGCTTGCAGCTGTCTGGTTTTCTTGATCATATTTCAGCTGTAGGAATATAAAGAAGCTATCCATGTTCCATCAGAGAGGGGCAGTGTTTCAATGAATTATTGTTTCTTTGCAAGTAGAGTGGCTGTATTCCAGGAACTAATCTATCGTTGAACATTTATGCAGCTCTTGCATTGTGCTACTAAAGTAAAGTTCCTTCAGTAGATCTAGGGTGTAATGGACACATACAGCTGTCAGTTTGTCCAAGAGCCGATCCCAGAAGATTTCTGATGGTGAAAGTCTTTTCAGTGGAATGAATAACAACTAGCCTAGACATCTTTTGTTAGCCAAGATGGGGATGACAACGGATTCCTTCGTTACTTTGCCAGTGGTCAAAAGTCAGACAGAATGTTCTGACCAGTTAAAATTTTCACTTGTGAGTCACTTCCTTCTTTGATGTCTCTTACCAATAATGCCTCCTCATTCTTAAGCTCAAAATTTGTACACTTTCTTCCAAGAACATAAATGGCCCATAAAATATGATTGTATGGGAGAGAATGGCGGTGACTGGGACACCAGAAGCAATAAATCCATGACCTAGATACAAAGGAACACACAGGCAGCTCCAAGGTTTCACTCAAAGAGCTTTTTTTTTTTCCAAAGAACTTTTTGAAATTTGAGGTACCAGCTTGTAAGACTTTTGTCAGATCTGACAAAAGTCTTACAAGCTGTTACTATAACTATGCCAATTCTAGCCATGCCTTGGCAAGTGCCTAAGTATAAATGGTACAGCAAGGGACAAGTGGCAATATACAACGTCTCACACTTTACTGCTTTCTCCTTCCCTCTTTCTATGAGAGCTAAATGTCAGAATGTTTGCCGTGGAAGGAAGAAGTTCATCCAAAGATTTTCTCTAATGTAGCATGAAAATAGCCATTCATTTTTCAACATCAATACACGTTCTGAGTGGTGGTATGGTGTGTTGGAGCACAGGCTCCAGTGCCAATCCCCAAGGATTACATTCTGGTTCTGTATCTCCAAAGCATAGCACCTTTGGAGAAATTGCTTTACCTGAAACCGTTAGTTTTCTTATCTATGATGTGGCATTAAAAACTTTACCAAACTCACTGTGTTGTGATAAAGATTAAACACATTATACATGTGTATGTCTATGTGCACATGTCTTAAAACAATGTTTTAAGGGCTGGAGATATGGCTGAGCAGATAAGAGCACTGGCCGCTCTTGCAGAGGACTGAAGTTTGACTCCTAGAACCCACATGGCAGCTACAACTGTCCGTAATTCCAGTTCCAGGGGAATCTGATGGGATCTTCTGACTTCTGAGGGCAATGTATGACATGGGTTCACTTACATACATGTAGACAAAACACTCTTACACATAAAACAAAAACAATAAAAAAAATTCTTAATAATAGCCTCCTCCTCTTCTGCTTCTGCTTCTTTTTTTGTCTTCTTCTTATTATTATCATTACTATATTATGATCATTATTATCACTACCTAGGTTGATGGCCTTGCATTCCACCCTGTCTGGTAACTGTCCTGATACTTTACATTGCCCCTGGACTTCAATGCCCTGCTTATTGCTCCAACAGCTCTTTTAACATTTGAGGCTTAGACTATATTTATTTTTTTAGTGTTTTATTTATCATTTTTATATATGTAAGTGTATTGCCTACATGTGTGTAAGTGCACTAGTGTCATGCAATGCCCATGGAGATCAGAAGAGAGCATCTGATTCCCTTGGATTTGGAGTTACGGATGGTTGTTAGCTGCTATGTGGGTGCTAGGAATCAAACCCAGGTCCTGTGCAAGAGCATCCAGTGCTCTTAACTGCTCAGCCACCTCTCCAGCCCTGACTATATATATTTAGATCTGTGAGAACTTCCACAAGGCTGTCTTATATAACTTTCCCTGTGGCTCTGGGAGATCCCACAGGGCCCAAACGTGATAGCGAAACCCCAAATTCTGAATCACAAGGCAGCAAGTAGGATTTCAAGAGTAAAGAAAATGAAATTGCATAGCACATAGAGACTGCCTGACACATCAAAGGCCCCTCCAGGCCAATAGGAAGTAGAAGACCAGAGCCACCCCTTTTGATTTGTGGTGCACTTACTTTGTTCCATTCCTTATGCTTGCCCCCTCTTCTGTCTCCCCACCCTTTGTTAAAAAAATGTTGGGGCTGCTGACGCACAAATCTGGCTTGTGGTGGCTCCTACTGGGTGGTGACTCACTGAAGAGCAAGAATCTTTTGCCTCACAGGGGAAGAAAAGAGAGATGTTTCTGTTTGGGAGCATGCCAAGAGATTGCCCTCTAGGTAGGGAGATGAAACCAAAGGAAGTCATGACGACAAAGGGGCAGCTCTCCCAAGAACCCTGACTCCCTCCCCCAGGGCTCTTGGCTATGACATTGCCTGCATGTGAGCTATGAGCTAAGTGAGGGACAAAATTCCATCCATCAAATGTTAAGTGTGAGAGACTTAACAGGGGATTTCAAAGCAATGAGATTCGAAAGGTCTTGGTAATCTCAAACCTAAATCTGGAAGGTTTACATGGATGAAGGCAAAGATCACAATAGCAATAGGGAGACACTAGTGTTCAGTTCTTTTCCTGCCCTTAGCCACCATGGACTCTGGGTTCTCAGGATGCTCAGTGGTCCTCTGAGCAACTCTCAGCTGCCCCTCAGTGTTTACAGGCTTCCCCGCAGTCCATCACCATGGAATCCATAATGGGAAGCTTGGCTCCTTCCACAGCACAGCCTTAGCCTCTGCTAGACTGCTTCCTTTGTGGCCTCCAGGCACTTTCAGTGTCTAGTCATGAGGAGCAGATATATGCAAAAAGCTCTATTTCGACATTTCTCCTGTTTCATGGACAGGTCTCTCAGTCCTCTCTCCTCTACACTGCTCATTTGCCAGGCTACTCATATTCATCACTGTCCTTTCTCCCTGCTCCCATTCATGATGTCGCAGAACCACACTTGTCAAGGAGACTTACTTTGTCCTGCCTTCTTTTCTTTCCTTTATACAATTTGTCTTGATGTACACTTTTTTATGTAGGTCAGATGATCAAAATCTGAGTTTGAGTACTGATGACTTATATTACCTCCCTCCAATACTTTAAAAAAGATTTTATTTATTTTTACTTTGTGTATGAGTGTATTGCCTGCATGTATGTAAGTGCACCTGTGTCATGCAATGCCCATGGAGGTCAGAAGAGGGTGTCAGATCCCCTGGAACTGGAGTTACTAATGGTTGTTAGCAGCCATGTGGCTGCTGGGAACTGAATCGGGGTCCTCTGCAAGAACAGCCAGTACTCTTAACTGCTGAAGCACCTCTGTAGCCCCCTCCCTCCAGTACTTTTCTGAAGCAACTTACACATCTTAACAGGATCCTAATCTCAGGGTTGGTAGAGTTTTCTGTGACAGGCTAAATGGCCAATATTTTAGACTTTTCAAACCATATAGACTTTGTTACAATTATTTAACTCAGCTGTTGTAGCATGAATAAATTAGAAAGGCTGTGTTACAATAAAGAAGTAAGATGCATCTCATGTGATTTTCACACATCTTACAAAATGAATCTTTTAATTTTTTTCAATGATGTAAAATCATAAAAACATTCTTCAAGAGGATAAATAAAAATGCAGCAAGCTACATTTGGCCTTTGGGCAGCAGTATGTTAATGGACACCTTAAGAAAGGATTGAGTCTAATCAAACTTTCACATGGTGTTGTAACTTGAATGGGACAGAGTGACTGAGCTTTTGTTTTCCTTTGAAGTTTTCTGAGACAGAATCTCACTGTATAGCCCAGCTTGGCCTAGAACTTGTGATCCTCATGCGAGGTCCCCTGCACGTCCTGGGTTGGGGACAAGTTCTGACGCCATCTTGAGGGGCTGCGGTCCAGACCGCTGTGCGAACGGAAGCTGGAGCAGCCAGGCATTGTAATCAGTACTATTAACTACTATGAAATAAGGATGATTCACCAATCCAGGTAATTAATTATTGCATTTGTAACAAAACTAATTTGCATACCAGTGGCTCACCACAACAAAAGTGTATTCAGGTCACAGGCCAGTGGAGGTCAAGGAGATCTCCTGGGCAACATTGACTCAGGATCCAGGCTCTTTCACATGGTTTCAGCATATCATAGACCCCATTCAGAATCTTAAAATGGACCCCTTGTATTTTTTTTTTTTTTTACTTTTCAAAAAAGCTTTATTTTCAGTTGGTCCAAGACTTAGGAGGGACTCAGGGGCAGTAAGAAAGCTGTCTAGTGGCTGGAGAGGTTCAGTCAGAGGTACAGAGGCAGGCTGGTACAGAGCAGAGATGGAAGCCCCTTGGAAGGCATAGTCAGGCTTGAGGGTAAAACACTGGAAGAGATACCCGCCCAGTGATAGCTGGGGTACGGCAGTCTGTGATGATTGTGTCCTGGCCAGCCTGCAAAGGTTGGTCAGGTGGCCCCCCATCTTCATGATGAGCTTCACCTCCTCATCCAGGAAGTGGCTCTCCAGTAACTCACAGAGATGGAGGTCTGTGTGAGCAGTACCCAGAGCATGAAGATTCAACAGGGCCTGGTTTAGATTCTTCTCCAGGGCCAAGGTGGCTTCAGTGGTCTCCTGAGTTTTACCCCACTCCTCTTGAGATGACTTCAGCACATCCTAGAAGAGCCTGTGACTGGCTATGGCACTGGATTCGCAACTTGAGGAGATGCTTTCTGTCCTTGAAGTTCTCTTCCACCAATCCACGCCCTCCTGAGCCACAACCAGAGAGTAGTAGCCCAGCAAAAGGTTGATGATGGACGTCCGCAGGTGCAAGTTGACTATGCAGTTGACAGAAGCCTCCACCTCCATGGAGTAATTCTGACAAATCAAGGAAGTCAGAGGACAATTTGTAGAAGTCGGTTCTCTCCTTCCACCGTGTGAATCCTGGAGATCGACTTCAGGTCATCAGGCTTGGTGGCAAATGCCTTTACCTACTGACTCATTTTGCTAGCTGCTGATTAGAATTCGAATCCCAGGCCCATCTCTGCTAGTTGTGTGAACTTGGTTTCTTAGTTTCTCTGAATGCATTTCGCTGACAGTAAGGCTAATATTACCCTTTTGATATACATTTGTAAGGACTATAGACAATGTATGCACAATGTTAACACAAAATGCAAAATATGATAAATACTAGCATTAATAATGTTATTAACGTTATGAGAGAGGAAGAAAGGTGTGATGCGAACACAGTGTGTGGCCTCCTAAAGCAAATTTAGAGGTTTTACCT